CCTCTATTATGCACACACGCTTGAATGTGTTATTAATAATGCATGCCATTTGTAGCTTTTGGAATCAATTCTATTTCGGTGACGATTTGACAATTCACATCCCAGTGTTGCTCTGTCTCCACCTATGCGGACTGGGTGGCGAGGTTTGGGCCTGTATTATTGTGTTCCCCCAAACATAAAGCATATGTCTTGTAAATGAATACAACACATAGGTTGCTTTCTATTTGAATACAACACGTGCGTTCTATTCAAATGTGCGAGGATCAGGCTCCTCGGTGGGCCTCAGGGGCCCTATTTGCAATGTGTGCCCGCTAGGGCGACCCTGATAAAATTACAAGAGGCCCATTGTTGTCTATTTCGCATATGGGGTTCAGACAGTTGCATCGCGTCAGCTGGTTGAGGGAACCCAGGCCACGGGCAGCAGTACTTGTTTCGGCCTTCTTGGCCTTTCTTGGAAGCAGGCCCTGGGCCGCATCTTCAGCAGGATGCAAGACAGGCAGTTGGGAAGCGTAAACAAATGGGGCCCAGAGCAGTAGCAGCAGAGGCCCAGCTACGCAGGCCCTACCGGAAGCTTCTGGGCACAGGCCCAGCCCAGCCAGGCAGCCCATCAGGCCAGACACTTTCCATATAGGAAAGTGCCTGCTGCCTGGCCAGACATTCAGGCACTCGCCAGTTTTGCGGCAGCGCTGCTTGAGCCTGCGCTCGCGTGCGGTGCGCTGCGCTGGGCAAGGTGTTCGTGCACGTGCGATCGTGTAAGCTGGGCACTGCTGTGGGCAGCGGCATAGCCCTATTATGATTCTGGTTGTCTGTTGTCTGAAGACCAACATTCACTCACATAGACTCCCAGGTATGCCCATACATACACAGAAGGAAGGGGAGAGGATAGGAGTGTCACACCGCACAGGGAGAGATAAACACAGCGGAAGACTTAACCATGCGATATGACAGGGTACACTGAAAGTGCAATTCACTCCACCCACTCCTCACAACCAGTCATAAAGGAAAGCCGAGTAGATCACATCCAAGAAACAATGAAACGATGATAGTCTGAACCCAGTATCAACACTGTTTATTAAACTCAGAGTCTCAAATTGTCAGGATAACCTCAGAACTATGATGCGCTTCTCAGAGGGAAGCGCCACCCTGAAACAGGCCTCTGAGGCCAAGCGCCACTCAGAGGATGAAGAAGAAGACCAGCGCCAAAGTATCTGATGATGACGAAGTGTCAGAAGACTTCCCGGGTGGGAGTCTGCAGCAGCGCCACCACTCCTGACAAGATGACCTCTGAGGAAGAAGCTGCAGCTATGACTGCAGCACCACAACCCTGTAACCCTACTCCGGAGGAGGGTCCATCAGGGCACCAACTTCTCCCGCCTCCAGCAGACCTCGAATAGCCCAGACCTCTGTACAGCCCCGCGTGCTGGCAGAGTAAAGTGCAGGTCCCAGCTATGGCCGGCGCTCCTAAGGTCTGGCTATGTCTGTATCCCTCAACGCTGAGCCGTCACCACTTCCGGTTCACGCGTAGCACAGCAGCGATGTACTCGGTACCAACCGCCAAAAGCCCTGAACTGATGTGCCCATCCTATCTATAACCTACACTAGCCTAGACACGACCTAGACTGGACTGACTGGACTGACCAGTACCGTTTCAGTTTCGGCCTCTCGGCCTCTCCCTACCCGGCTATAGGCTATAGGACTGTCTATTGGCATAGGCCCTTAGGGCCTGTCCATCCTAGGGGTAGCCTGGGCCTGCTATACGCAGTTAGGGTAACTGCAGGGAATTCGGTTAGTGCAGGCCTATAATTTTCCCAAATTTGCAGATATGTCCCTCACGAATTTCCTCACAGTCAGCTGTCACGGTTAGCCCTCAGCCAAACAAAATTATGAATCTAACCTAAGACGCGACCCGACCGAGGCAAGCCCCAAGCTTCGCCCTCGGCCCAATGCACAGCCACTGAGAATCTGCAGGCTTCGTTACAGCCCAACTTTCATAGCTGGCTGGGCTTGGTTGTGCAGCAAGTCGTAGTGGTGGTCTTCGTGCATGAGGGAGAAGACGTGGGTGAAAGACAAGGGAGAGATAGAGAGGGAGAGATGAGGGTGATGACGTGAGGGCACTTACCTGGTCTTGGCGATAGTCTGCAAGAGGCGACATCTTCATGTACTTCGGTGCTGCTGCTGACGTCAACAGTTGCATTGTCAATTCGTAGGCTGGAAGTAGCTGTGTTGCCAAGTAGGGGAAGGGCCTTGGATACTTATGTTGGTGAAGGCGAGAGTATGCTCCCATTGACTCTTGGATTCAGTGCTCTGGTTCTCCATTGGTGTATTATTGGTGCATTTCTGCTTTCTGGACAGTGTGGTACTTCCTGGCTTTCAATGTGATTTTGTAATCTGGAAATCTGTCATTTCACCATTGCTCAATTTTCCTTGCAAATGCAACACATGCATTCTATTTGAGTCATCCAATAGAAGTTATAGAACGCATATGGCTGACGTGTGCATTTTCTTAGAATACAGCAAATGGGTGTTAAGCAGACAAGTGTGGGCACTGCCCGTTTAACCACACAGAAGTGGGGGAACTTTTGGAGTTGCGTGAGTGGTGGATTATGGGCAGTACCTGCTCAACCAAACAGACTCGGGTAGACCTGCACATCTTTTTTTGGAGATATGTGGGGTTGGTAAATGTGTGATGATTTTTTTAATTATTTTTTTATTTTTATTTTTAATGTGTGATGATAATGTGGCCGAGTTATGATATTTTGGAATGGGATCTTTTGCCAAAATTGAAAATGCACAACTGCACACGTGAACATGCAGTGCTATACGGGTATGGGCATCGTCCGATATGGGCTGGCCATCAATGTACACAGTAAACAACTGAAACTTCTTCTTTTTTTTTTTTTTTTTTTTTTTTTTTTCGACCAAATGAGAACACAGTGTTCGGCACACTGAACACTGTAGTCCCTTCACAAAGAAAGCCCACCTTCTCACCTCCAATCATCGATACAACGACAATGTAGCAGCTGTACTATGATGAGACC